TTGTGACAATCTGGCAAAAAAAAAACCAACCCACAACATATTTTTTGATACAGAGCGACTTTTTGGCGTCAGATGTAAAAAAAAAAAAAGCAAAGCTTGTGAGTTTGAACAACTGTATTGAAGAAAGGCAGTCTATAACGTCACACCTGATTCATTACAGTACATAAGAGTGTATGTATTATATACAATATGACCTGTACCAAAATATGAATTTTTATTAAGTAGTATTGAAACGAGACAAAAAAACCCCCTAATTAGAAAAAAATGGGCTAGTAGTTTGTATGCCTCTAATTAGTTGTACATTGATGTCATATAATGTAGACAAACAAAACTCAGAACAAAGTGCAAAATGTTATATAATTACACATACAGGAAAGATATCAGTCATTATTTTCTTCTTTACCAAAAAGCTCCTAAACATTCATACTGTAAAAGTTGTATGGTTCTTTGTATGAGTAAAATACAGAAGAGCTATAAAATTCTACCTTAAACTAACCAAGAAGAATATTTTAGCCACAAATTATTAACAGGGCTCCTTGACAGAAGTTGTACTTAATTGGTAAGTCACACACTGTCAAACTTCATAAAGACATTCAAGAGGGTCACTTACTTGGACGGTTCTCCCCCCGTTCTGTATGCCATAAAACACAGAGTACGTCAAAATAGCAAAGGCATTTTGCTTTAAGCTGAGATTTCTCCAAACACAGAGAAGCCACTCATAGAGGCATTCTGGGTTATTATGAATTTACTTGATGCACGTGAGACATCAATTAAATTCTCAAACCGTGGAGCAATTTGAGGGAGTAATCAGAGCAATTTGATTTCTTAGTTTTGACAGTCTGTACCTTAAAGCAGTTTAAATTATACTCCTTATACACTGAATATGTTTAAAGAATAGGCTTTAAGAAAGTTGGACAAAACTAGAACAAAGCTAATTTAATCTTGAGAAGTTTTTATATGGGATACTAAACTTCAGTTTTAAAGCTGATACTATAGCAAAGATTTGCTATAGTGAAACTATTTTCTGTTTTGGTAACAAAATTAAGTGCTTACAGTCTCAAAGTGCCTGCAGTCTTGGAGTGCTTCAGAAAAATAAGAGAATCAAAGTGAGGGGGGGGGCGAGAGGGAGGAAATGATATTTCTGAACTCAGCTCATAAAGTTTAGCTTTAAAATTCAAACAATACTTGGCCTTTCAAAATTTGCTATTTAGCAACAACATTTTACAGAAAATATTCCATTTGGGCCTGATTTTCTGAACTGCTGGGTAGATGGGAGTTCCTCCAGTTTCCACTGATTTTAAAAATTACAGTGAATGGAAGCTGAAAGTAGTTGCCAACTAGGAGAATAAAGTACATACGTGAGAACAGACAATGGAAATAAACAGGGCACTAGTGTACATCCCCAAAGAGAATGTTATTCGTCATCTGAAATCATGGAAACTGCAAGGCATGCATTACTGTATATTGCATTTAGTTCCAGAATCAACAAGAACAGCAACGGAAGGCATAATCTTCAAAGGATCCAAACCCAAACATGCATAGTGCTGCTGCTAAAACGCATTCCTCAGTTTGGAAGGAGCTATCGCCATGCAGATCATCTACATGTATGATACCTGCACGGAGCTGGGGTGAAGTGTTGAGCTGTCGGTTTTCATTTGTGCTTTAATTTTATCCAAATCTATTTTTATCCTAAAGTCATTTCTTTTTCTCATAATTCTGTTGCAAAATATTGCAAAGGTAGGAATAGCTGAATCTACTTCCTAAGCACAAATATTTAAAAAGAGCCCTTTAACGAACAAAATCAAGTATTAAAGCCTGAACGTTAAGTAACTGCAACACCAAACTTTACTGACATGATCACTTAACAAGAACTCATATCCCAGCAACAGTTATCTCATCTTGAATACTGTGCTTAGATAAATAGTGCCATTGACACCATATAGGAAAGAGTTATTTTAGAATATGTTTGCGAGATGATGTACTTTTAATAAGAAACTCAAGGTAGTCTAGAGCTTCCTAAAAACTGCCCAGCTCAGAAAGCCTTTAAATGAGTAACAACTGAGATCAATCTCCCTGCAGTCATTGGTATTAAGACCATCTCCACTAGAAGAAAGCTGCATATAAAAGAAGATTCTTTTAAATTAAGCAAAAATAGTGATAGAGCACAAACAAAGGATCTTACAAGATATAGTAAATAAGGTCCCTTAATACAAAAATAAATTTACAAAAAATTTTGATTAATAAATAGACTTTTAATGAGTTAAATTATTTTCCATTTCTTTTTGGATTCAATTTCAGTATGTACATTTAGCTAAATATTTCAACTATCAAACACTGACACTTGCTGAGAAGGACTTTAAGAGGTGCTCAAAGTAAGGACGTGGTGAGGAAAGAAACAGACTTATGCACAAACTCTGCCATATAAACCCTCCCACAAAAGAGAAGTATTCACAGCTGGATTTGTGATTTTTGGGCTGAGGCCACTAGCTTTTGCAACGTACTTCATGACAGACAGGACCGAGTTGTTTCTTTTCTGGTGAGAAGCGTAGCAGTTACTATTTAAACTGGTAAAACAGCGCCTCTGCCCAGGGTTGACAATCTGGAGGTTGATTTTTTGCATTATGACGCTTTATCAGCAGGGGAGCAGAGGAAGTGCCGACAGAGGATCAGAGTGACCATTTCAGAGTGTTGGTCTGGAGACAAGGACGGTGGGAGAAAGACCTGGAGATGCATTATTACTAGTCTTCAATTCGCCCTTCTCAGGATTAAGTAGGTTATGTATGAAAAGAGACTGGTGGCATGAACAGTCATGACTTCCTAAGTGCTGGTGCCAGGCGGCTGTAACATTGCAAAACGCTCTCTTGGCAACGTTGTAGATTTACATGCATTTTTAGCTGAATTTTCTTCCTCCTGCCTTCGGCTTAAGAGGACGTTAATAAGGACGTTATTTTTCAAAAAGAGCAGAAAACCTGTGCAGTTTTAAGTAATATTCTAAAACTAAAACCTTTATACCATGAAGCTCACATGCTGAGCAGTCTATTTTTTTAATATATAATTTTTTTTTTTGAACTGCAGTCTGTGATATGACATAGTTTCATGAATTACAAACATGTCCTAACTATCACACCCTGTTTAAGACACTCTGTTTAAAGAGTAGCTATTATAGCCCACACTAAGAAAGAGAAAGGTATTGCTATTGTCAGAGAAACTGCCAGGCATTAAATGTTGAGAAACAAAGTTAAAAAAAGAAAAGACGTTTTAGCTGTGGATCAGGTTTTTTTTCCTTACCTGAACTTTGTTTAAAAACTAATTAAGCTACTAATTATCTGATAAGCAGGAGACTAAATCAAAAAGTAATTTCAGAGAGGCATGTGTAAGTTTCTAGCAATTAGTTAAAAATTGCATCTAGATGGGACGTGTTAAACATTTATGAATGTATGTAAAACACTTTAATCTTGGAAAACTGTGTCCTTTTGGCATTTAAACGATGCTTTAATTTGTCATTTGAAAAGCAGTTATTGCTGAGTACTTTTCTACTTTTAAGTGGCTGTCGGAACAGAAGCAGAAGCTTTTGTCTGCAAAAGGAGCAAGCACAAGTTGCTAGTTTGCGCTGAGTGGTAAGTTCCATGCCCTAAGTGACACTGGCCCAATGTATATTCGAGGTACTGCACAACAGAGCTTTAAGGGCTGTGCTCTCATCCTTGCATGAAGTGCTAACTGAATTAAACCATAATTGTATGCAAATAAGCCAGAACAGTATTTGGGATCAATATCTTCAAGTCACTGAAAGCTGCAACGACCTTATCTCTGAAGAAACTATCATGACTAATTCAATTTAACGATATACAGGATTTCAGTTCAAGGATCATGGAACTGCCTCGAAACTCTGCAGCGTCTTCAAAAGACGTAGAATATAAACAGGAAATAGGACACTTGGGACCATAATAATAACAACTGGCTACTGCAACAATGGAAAGAAAAATATAAGTTCTGCTTTTCTGTTACTTCTTTCACATGTTGCAGCATTAACGTGGAATAAACTTTTGTGAATAAAGTCAAATAAATATAAGAAAAGCTGAAGGATTAAGTGATTTTAAAACAATCACCTACAGAAGCACACAAACATAAATGTTACTGTCCAAAATATACACCCATGCTTCAAAGGCTTGCCTTCAGCACACCCGTTAAAAGGAAACGTTCATGCTCAGTTCATGGAAAAGTAGTACAGTATATATCAGACTTCATGAAACAGTGTCGTTTCCTGCACACCCACTTACACCATATGGTAAACAGGTCTTTGTAAAGTTTAAAAAGTGTTAAAAATGTAAAACTATATCTGATTGATAAAATTCGTATTTGCTGGCTATTCCACATATGTTACACGTTCAAGGAAAAAAAAAAAGTGAAATTCATGTGAAGACCAAGCTCTTATTATCAAGCAATTAAATGACATCTGGCTACTGCAAAATGTTTACATAGTTTCAGGGCTTCAACTCGAGACCCAAGCTTTCTATGAAACATTTGACAAGTATATTTAGGAGTTTAACATCAATTAAAATATTTTTAGAAGTCAGTCACATTACATGGAGTAAATTTCATTAATTGATATGGTAGTGTGCGCAACTTGTTCTTAGATCTACGCACACCTTAACCAAAACAGCTGAATACATTCAGAAAAGATGATGGTGGAGTAATATTTTTATGCAGCTAAAAGCACTAATTGGCACTTCCTATCCAAAGGTGTGAATATCCTTTCTAAAAAAACCCTAATTGTGCAGTACCATCCTCCCCTCGGATAGTGGACCTCAGGAAAACCTTTCTGGACTTTTTGTTTAAGATGAATTCTGTGATCCCCTTTGAGAAAACGTTCAATTTTCAAAGCCACCACTGTGATATCAGCCAGTTACAGCTC